CCTGCTTACATTGGATCAGAAGTGCCTAACCCGCCTACTGCAGCACACTACACTTCATTTGACCCACCCGCAATACACAAAATGACCACAAGATGGCAGCACTATCCCATAACGATGGCTTTGCCTCCATGGAGTTTCATTTCTGAGTTCTAGCCTATTTACTGACATTCGAAACTATAGAAACTTCATCAATACACAAGTCGACACTTCAGGCAGAGGTTCGAACTCTTAGTGCCGAACTGTGGCAAAGTTTCCAGGGTCTCCAGTTTGGTTTCCTCCATCAAAGCGAAAGAAAGATTCCCACTGAGGTAATGACAAGTCCCCTAAGAACACCCGCTGGCCTTTGTTCCGGACACACTGGCATCATTCAAAGACAGGGGTTGAATGGAAGGGATTTGGATATGTTGAGCCAACCAAAGACTGGCACATTAGCATCAAATATGATAGTATTCTCTAAAAACAAAGCTGTTTGCGTTCCCACAAGAATCAAGATGATCTGTCACGATGGCTGGAGGAAGATTTTTGGCTAGATATTAGGTTTTCTGCATCCAGATTAACTACCTGAAGGATCCTTTACTGGGATTCAGGGAGCAATGAGTAGGAAGGACAGTTACTGAATTCAAACTCGGAAACTGCTAGCTCAAACCTGGACAATTTACTGTTCGCAAGAGGTCGTTGACACACAGAGGTCAGCAGCGAGGCTTGGTGAGGGGTCCTCTCTGTCAAAAAAAGGATAAACATGACAGGATAAGCATTCACAGCTTGCCTGAACCACCTTCTGACTGCGATTGACTGGAGTTAGAAACCGCACAGGATGGAGGGAGAAGGCTGACGGGCTGACCTCTGGGGAGGATGAGTGAGTCAGGAAGCCTGAGGCCTGGAACAGGTGCAGAGGGGAAGCTGCAGATTCAGAGCACTTGGGGAGAAATGTTCTGCAAGAGGGGAGCTGCTGAGCCAGGGGCCAGGGAACATTCTGGACACAGAACTGCCTGCTGCTTTCCCACGGTGTGGTCACAGCCAGACTAAGTGACCTGGCTTGAAGAATTGAATGATAATAAAAACACAACAAACCCAACTATGTGGGGCACAGCGAATTTTTTGTTATTCTTGTTTGCTTGTTTTTGAGACAGGGTTGTCTGTCCTGATAGGTTTTTGTTTTTGTTTTGTTTTTTGAGACAACCATGACTGTCCTGGCACTTGCTCTGTAGACTAGGCTGCCCTCGAACTCACAGAGATCCACCTGCCTCTGCCTCTGAGTGCTGGGATTAAAGGTGTGTGCCACCACTGCCTGGCTTACAATGGAGGTGTTGTTTTTTAAAGAAACAAGTTCACATTATTGATTGCCCACATTAAAACAACAACAAAGAGTGGTGAGATCTTATATGTTTCCATATCCAGGCTGGAGCAAGCTGTGGGGACCCCAGGGAGGAGGCTAGCAGGATCCTGGAGAGCTCTGGTGATGACTGGCTGCCTTGCTTGTGTCCCAGGCCCTTGCTGCAGCCAAGCCCTTCCTGAAGGGACTGAGGTTGGGCCCTTTGAATTTTCAAGCTGCTCGTTATTCCAGCCACGTGCAGCCGTCAGAGGCCAGTGAAACCATCTCTGACCTTGGCGGAATAAATAATCTGATGTTTGAGACTGAGTAGAAGGGTGACCTTTCATGTACTGAACTCAGAGGAAATGGCTAGCCAAACAGAGACACAGCTTCACAACGGAAGTGAACTAGCAACACTGCTAACAACTCCGTGCAGAGACTCCATTGCTGCTGCATCTTGGGGTTGGAAGTAACCGTCTGAAACAAGTGGTTTCCGGGCCTGCCTATAATAACAAACTCAGCCCGTGCCCACATGTTGTGCTCCTGCTTTGGTTCTGACATGAATGATGGTGTTGGGCTGAATAGCAGCTCAGCAGCTAAAGCAAATGGGGGTGTTGGCCAACTGTGGGTGCTGAGCCCAGGGGAGTCCCTGGGCAAAGATAAGCGCATCTGGACTCAGATGCAGGAGGAGGCAGCCAGGAGCCCTGTGGTCCGGGTGAGAGGATGAGGATGTTGACATTCAGTTCGAACAAATTTAATTCCTTGTACCCCACTGTACCTGTCCCCTCCACCCCTACATGGCCTCTAAACAGAAGTGACCTTGGCCTTAGAAACTTTTTTTTTGAACAGGTTTCAGCCTTCAACTCCCTGTGTAGCAGAGGATGACCTTGAAGGATGACCTTAAACTCATAACTGTGTTACCTCCACCTCCTAAACGTTCAGACTTGAAGCCTATATTACCATGCTCAGTTGTAGAAAACCAACTTTGGGCTCTACCTATGACACGGACTTGCAGGTAGAGGTGGCTCACCGAAGCTTCTTCCCTGGAAGCAGATGGTGGTGGGTGTCATAGCAGGATGCCACCCATTGTCCTAGGTTCTTACCTTTCCAGAGTGGGCAGTCTGAGCAAGGCTACCACTACCAGCAGCATTCACCATGATCAATACCAGCAGGAAGTGGGTTCTGGCCTCAGTTCAGGCCCACAGGGAGATTTGTGTGATTATTCTGGAACAGGCAGTCAGGTGCCAAGGGATCGAGTACAGGCTTTGAAGCTGGACAGACCTAGATTTGATGTCTCGGCAGGCATAGTCTGTGTGATCATGAATCCCGACCGGGATGAACCTGACTCTCCCAACTGTAAAATAGAGTAAGACGTGTCCAGACATCAGGGAGCTTCTTAGTGCTAAAGGGAAGTTGATAACAGGAAGAGAATGCGTTGGGAGAGCACAGATTCCCATTGCCGGGGCAGGGAGGAGACCTGCAGAGACGCAGTGTGGGGCTGGGGTGCAGGGCTGGGGAGCGACTGGAGCGACTGGATATAGAGAGTTTGCCCAGCAGGTGTGGATGCCCCAGTACCACAAATAGAGGCAAAGTGAAATCCACCTGTGTGACCTCACATCTCAGCTGTGAGAAAATGCAGAGCCCACGAGCCAGGCTGTTCTCTGTAGAAGCCAGGTGTGTGTGGTTGTGTGTGGCCCCAAGGGAGGGGTGGAAGCTCTGACACTCCTGTCTTCAGGTTTGTGCTGTTTGAGGGAACAGTGGTCATGCACAGAGCCCCGACTGCCCAGGGCTGTGGCACGGAGATCCTGCAGCTTTGGATCTGCAGGACTGGGTTTGCAGTGAGGGGAACATGGCGGGAGTGTTCCGGTCTGGACATACAGCTCAGTGTAGAGCGCGTGCCACACAAGGCTGTGCCCACGGCCCAGGTTTGAGCCTTAGCATCAGGAAAAAGAGTGGTTTCAGCGTTCTGCTTGTTGTCTGGTGGAGTCCTGACTGAAGAGTAAATGAAGTTTGTGTGTAAAGGCTGTGCCACACAAGGAAGGCTGAAGTTACCACTTAGCTGTGTACCTGACGTGAGCATCATGAGGATTTTACATTAAGTGAATTTGGAAAAGAATTAAGTGTAAGGGAAGTTTCCAGTAGGCAAAGATGAATATAAGGGGAAGGAGGTAGCAACTTAGACAAATCAGTTTCCAAGGGGTACCGATGAAGTGGCAGTGGGGTAGAGTCAGGACGGAGCTCGGGGTACTTCCTAACGGCTGTCGCCAAGGACGGTTGCCAATTGTCATGGTCTTTTTCATCAGGAATCAAGATGATCGGAATAATTTTGTCAAGTAGAGAGCGAGGTGGAGTCAGCTCAAGGGGAGTTTGGGGTTCCACTCACAGCTTCTCTGGAGTGTAACCACTTTGGGGGAGGTTACGGAAAGACCACAGTCCTGGCAGATAGATGGTCCACACCTATTTCCTCTATTCCCATCTCTACTCTCACTGCCAAGGAAATGTCCTGTAGAAACCTGGAGTCAGAGGCTCCTTTATGCGAGGCTTGCGGATTGGGTTCTCAGATTGGCTTTCGCCCGAATGGTGCCCAAGGCAAAGGTCTGCTGCCAATGGTGGCAGCTGGGATGAGAATGCCCCATTCCCATGTAAACACTTTGTTCTCAGTGCTTGGTGCTCTTTTGAAGGTGTGGCCCCGCGGGAGGAAATACGTCATTGGAGGCAGGCTTTGAGAATTTAAAGTCCCTCACTATTTCCAGTTTATTTTCTCTGCTTCCTTCTTGCAGTTAAAGCTGTGGTCCCTCAGCTTCCTTCTCCTGCCACCATGCCTGTGGCTTGCTGCCTTGTCATGATGGTCTCTCAGCCCTCTGGAACCGTACATCCCAAATCTGCTCTTGGCTAGCCTTGGTCATAGCATTGCCACAGCGACAGAAAAGGACCTAGTCTAAAAAGGCCCCCAACAGGGCTCATTCTTCTTTTGGAAGGAGTCAAGGAAGTGTTGATTATCCATGGGAGCTCTACACAAGATTGTTCCCATTAGCATCTATCCTGGAGCAGGAAATGCTCACCAAGTTCCCCCGGCTGGGGATAGACAGCCATTGCTGGTGATCAGAGCCGTTTTCTCCAGTGGCGTAACTACTCATAGGTTGCCCATGCTCTATAGTAATCTCGCTGGATCACCAAGTTAGACTTGAGTGGTATTGCTCTGGTGTCTCAGTGCTTTACCTGAGGTCAGCAGCAGTTGACTCATCTCTCTGGGAAAATTGCACACAGGTGTGAACAAAGCAGTGCGGTGGTACGAATAAGGATGGCCCCACAGATGCATGCATTTGAATGCTTAGTCAGCAAGGACTGGCACTGTCTGAGAAGGATCAGGAAGTATGGCCTTGTAGGAGGAAGTGTGTCACTGGGGGAGGGCTTTGAGATTTCAAAAGCCCAAGCCAGGCCCAGTAAGTCTCTCTCTATTTTTCCCCCTCTCTCCCTGTCCCCTCTCGCCTCCCCTCTTCCTTCAGATCAGGAGGTAAAACTCTCAGCTACTGTTCCAGTGCCACGCCTGCCACCATGATGATACTGCACTAAGCCTCTAAAACAACAAGCAAGTCCCCAACTCAATGTTTTCCTTTCTAAGAGTAGCCTGGGTCACGGTGTCTCTTCACAGCAATGGAACAGTGACTGAAACAAGAACACAAAGACATTAACTATTTACCCAGTTTATTGTATTTTTTTTACAATAAAAATAAATTAGTTGTACACAAAATAGTACTGAAAACAGCCCATATTTGCTCATATAATTCACCTTCTGCTCGTCTCCTCCTTCCATAATAATTTAACACTGTAAAGGAGACACAGACTGGTGTTGTCCTCAGTTCCCCAGTGGGCTTCTCGCTCCCGGCTCTGCAGTCCACAGGTCAGCCTTGAGGCCCTGGCCCCAGGAGCCCCCAACAGGAACCCTGGGGTTGTCATCAGAGCTGAGAGACTGCCACAAGTCCCCAAGCCTCTCACAGTCCCTTCAGCCCAGGTTGTCCACAGCTCTGACCTGAGGAATGAGGCCGGTGAAGCTAACAGTGGGCCACACTGAAAAGGAAAGAGAAACACAAGCCACCTGCCCTTCTCCGAGTGTTTGGGTGTGAGGAAAGGGCAGATTATATGAAAAAAAAAATAGAATATTTAAGACAGAAAGGTGGCAATCTTAGGCACAATACTGGCGGAGGAACCCCTGAATATGTCAAAAGCAGAGTCATTTATAATTGATCTTAAACTTCCAAAAGTTTGGCCAATCACTGTACTAAACGACTATTAAGATTGACTTAGAATAAGACACCGTGGTGCAGCCATATACCAGGAGGCTGGGTTAGTATGATCAAATGATTTTATGAAATATGGATGGCATATGTAAATAAATACCTATTGGGTCCCTTTAACAATGAACATATTCTAAATAAACAGAGCCACTCTGCAGATATAGTTCAGAATACACTTTTCCTATAAACATCTTGTATTTACAGAGAACATAATAATAAGTTATAGCAAAGTATATCCTTCTGTCGGGTGGATGTTGGGGGGCTGGGGAGCAGGAAGGGGAGAGTTAATGGGTGTGACAGAATGGATTTGTCTCTCACTCAGGCCAGGGGCTCATCCTCTCAGGAGGCGGGGTGCTTCCACATTCTTGGGGTTACTTTCTACAACGTGATGGGCATCCCACCGGAACAAGGATTCGGACATAAAGGATGGTTTAGGATTGAGGGTTACTCTTTGTCAGCAAGGAAAGGTGTTCTTACAAAAGAGACTGGCGGTGAGTGGCCCAGACTAGTCAAAGCGGCCTCCATGGAGGCATATGACCCCAGGCAGGCAGCTAGCTGCCCCTCATGTCTCTGTGTCCCTTTGTGAAGCAGACATGGGGATGGCTCTGACTAGGTTGCCAGTGGCTGCCATATGAGGTCACATGCTGTTCACAGGAAGGGGCACGAATGGGTTTCAGATGGTGACAAGGTGGTAGCAGCTGTCACTTGCTGTCACTAAGCAGATGCACCACCCAGAGCTGCGCCACTTGGAGAGCCACCAAACCCTGGACTTGGAGATGACCTTGAGCAGCGAGTTGCTGAGAAAGATATCTGATCCCTTCCCACATCCTGACACACCTGTCCTGTCTCAGCTGCCACCCCTAAGGGGTGACTGTCCCCAGCAGCCCTGCCCCCATAGATCTACATCAGCTTGCAGAAGTTTGCTATTCTGTTCCACTGAGGGTTCTCGTGGTGTCTCTTCTGCGATGTCGCACCTCTGAAGTCCACCACGCTGTCTCTAAGAGTCTGTCCTCTTTATCGGGATTGAAAACCACACCTGAACGTTACATAGGAGCGGTAGTCTTCACAGACACATGGACCATGACTCCCATCTATGTTTCCTCTGTGGCCTTGGTGGCGTGTGGCATGGCATATACAGATACACGTATGTGTGTGCATGTGGAGGTCAGAGGACATCGACTCTTAGGCTTCAGCTGTCATCCACAGTGTTTTTTGAGGCACGGTCTCTCACTGGCCTGGAGCTTGCCCAGTAGGTTGGGCTGGCCAGCTGCTGAGCCCCAGGGATCCACCTGTCTCTGCCTCTCCCATGCTGGGATTACAAGTGAGTACATCACATCTGGCTTTTTTGCATGTGGGCTCTGAGACCTGGGCTCAGTCTTTGTCTCAGCACTTTGTCAATTGCGCTAACTTGCTAGTCCTGGGGTCAGTTATATCTTGCCGCTTCCTCCCCACTTTCCTGACTCACATTGATATTAGCTGAAATTCTTCCCTTTCTGTCATTTTTTCGACTGAACAGTTATTCTTTTAATCCAAAGGTAGGACTTTAGCTGCTTTCCAGCGAACTGTTGAGGTCTGGGCTTTCTCTTTACTTTTTTTTTTTTAATTTCCTTTATAAATATTTTAGACTCTTCTTGCTCTGGCTCTTGGCTCTCCACGGCCAGGGCATCGGCCAGTTTTCTGCTAAGACATCCAGGCTACACACGCAATGTTCATCTGTCAAGGATCAGACGCTGGTCATCACCCTGTTGCAATGTAGTCTTTCATTTTGTTCCTCACATGGGAAAACTAATATGCCAACTCTAAGACAGCTATTAATAAGACGAGGAGACTATCTTGGACAGGTGTTAGCAGTATCTAGAGTTCTCCACACCACACTAGTTGAGTGAGCCCTCTAGAAGTCTATCTTTACCGAGAGAGTGTTGTGTGTAAACGCTTAGAGAACCAACGGATGGAACGTACTAAAAGCAAGGCGGGAAGAAAAACACAGAAATCCTGGGCTGAGAAGAAGTAATGCAAAGGAGTAGCTGGCGCAGTTATGAGAACTCCCTCCCTGAGCCACTGAGAGATGCTGAGAGATCCTCTGGCTTCTTAATAGGGTGAGCATGGTTTATGAACAGAGAACTGCTCCCTCTAGTGGTCGGGTAGCATATTTCCTGCAGGCCCTGGAAGGTGAACCGAAATAGATTCCGCAGGGGCTGCAAGGAAGGTTCTTCTTCCAGTGAGTGGAAGACAATCAGCACAGACTTTTAATTTGGGGCTTTGCTGATTTTTGTTGAGAAAGACTACACAGAAACTTTAATTTATCTAGTTTTTCACTCAGAGCTAGGGATGTGGCCTCTGGCACACGGGGTGAGGGGCGGGAAATCAGTGTTGTAATATGTTTCAATTCCATGTCACAGTCAATGAAGGGGATGTGGAGTGGCCCAAGAAGGGGATGGCAGATAAAGGATCATCTGCAGGCACTGGTGTCCCCTCCCTGGTAATCACTGGGGATCCCCAGGGCCCTACTGCACACACTACAGAAGGGAGAAAGTCATGAAGACGGTGGAAGAAACCAGGACATATTTGCAAGATTGGCCTTCTACAACAAAGAGGTTTATCAACCCCATTCTAGAAATCCATAACCTTTTAAAGGGGACTGGCCTCCCAAGGACAGCTCATTTTTCTGGGGAATTCCACTGAACTCAGGAGAGATGTTTCTTTTCTTTGCCTGAAGACCAGGGCCTGCCCCCTTTGCTCTGATCACCCCCATTCTACAGGAGGATCACTGTCCTTCGTAGAAGAACTCTGAGGTGATGCCTGAGACACAGGATAGACAAAGCCATCGTCAACCCAGCCCAGCCCTGAGAATTTGCGAGCTGGAAGGACCAAGAGGTCCACTCTCCACAGAGAAGGCCTTTATTCCCTGTTAGCCTGGCGCTGGGTGGCTTGAGTTGCTAGTACATTTTCCTTCCCGGGAGCTAATGCCAGGCTTTGCTTTAACCAACAGATCTTGCAGGCCTTACCCTCTGGCATGCACACGAACACCTTCCAGTGAATTCTTCAGATGACTGGCTTGTCCAGCAAGGTCTGACAATGGCTGCATGAAGGAAAGGTTCCTGGGACAGGCGAAAGCATGCAGTGAGAGAAACAGGGAGGAAACTGGACAGAAACTGTGTGTGCAACGGCTTCTCCTGGTATTTAGCATGGTTGGCATAGTCTCTGCCAGGCTGTGTGTCTACATGCCATAGGAACACGAGGAGAGGTGGAGCTGCTGATGGATGTGGTGCCAAGCTTTCCAAGCAGAGAGAGATGCTGGAGATACTCACAGAAAGCCAAAGTCAGTGATCCTGACAGAGTGTGTCAGACCAGACAGGCGACATTAGCCCCATGGCTGGGAATGATTGCCACGCTGGCTGGGGCAGGTAATGAGCGCATGGAGAGACCCTGTGATATGGTACATGCCTGCTTTAAGAGAAACATGCACAGGACCCGAAACAAGACAATTTCTGTAAGTTTACAATTTTTAAGAAAAGAATATTCCTCTTAATTGTCTCCCCCAATCTCCAGAGATGGTTCACCTTTCAATATGCACCGAGTCCCTTCAGGCCTGGGGCCTCTGGAATTATAGTCGGCTAAAGTGTGTCAGTGAAGATGGGAAGGACTTCAGAGTTCCTTCTCCAAGACCCACATCATTAAAACTGATCTTGATGGTCAAGTCTTGTGGGAAGTAAGAGTCATGAGTCACAGGGGAACGGGAGGGAGAGAGGAGAGGGAGAGTAGGGAGGGATGTGCGACTACCAGCAAGAAACCCTTTAATCAACCCACAAGGCCCAAATAAGACTCCTCCTATTGCAACGTGGAGATTTCCTGGGACTATTGGCTTGGCTTTCCAGCAGGGGATACACCACAGAGAATCCAGGAGAGATGGCGGAACTAAAGCTTGTGGGATTTGGGAATTTGTTCCAGCTCCAGAGTGCCCCAGAAAACCCCTGGCCACATTCTTGCTCTCCCTGTGGCTTTTCTGTCTTGTGGGAAAGTTCTGTTGAGGACGGAACTTAGCAAACACCACAGAGTCCTGTCAGCAGGAGCTGCGACTTAGGGAAGGGGAACAGGGGTGCAGACATCTTCAAAGGACTAAATACTCAGGTGAGGCAGCACTTGGGGACAGAGGAAGGGCTTCAGAAGCTTGGGCTCCATTCATAAAATACAACTCGACCCCCTGGTCAGATAGGAAGCCCACTCATTCTTCAGGCTATAGGCCAGTGGACAGGCCCCAGGCTGGCCACTGGAGGCACTGTGGGGTGAGGTTATGCTCAGGCATCTGAGGTAGGCACTCAGCCCTGGCACAAAATGGCCAGCTCAGTCATCTGAGTTGAGCCTCATTCCTTGTCAAGTAGGAGCACTTATTCAACCCCTGCTTCCCGTTCTGGGACACTATGGCCTCCAGTGAGCTAAGGTCTGAGAATGTATGTACCTGCTAAACAAGAGAGCACTCTGCTGTGGGATACCTCTGACCTGAGGCGGGAAACAGTCTATTGTCTTTAAGAATGGTGACAGGCACGGCTGGCTGAGGTAACAGGGATGCACAGGTCTCAGTAAGGTTTGTTGGTGTCGTAGGATGGGGTGCTCTCCTCTCTTGACTTTCTAAAGGGGTGCTAATTCTGGACAGGCCAGTAGCACCAGGAAGGAGGCTGTGCCGGGTCAGTGGTCCAGTGGCTGACCTGGACAACAGCAAGCCTGAAGTTGGGATGAGAGCTGCATGCACGTGACTGCTTGGTTTTCAGTAGGCCCCATTAGCAGGTGCCAGTTCCCAAGGAAGGGCGTCATCAGGACGGAGTGATGCTCAAAGGGCGTTCTAGCATCCTGGGTACCAGGTGGTACACTTTATGAAGGTGAGTTGGGGGTCCCTGGCAGAGCACCAGCCAGCCAGGTGCACTGCTTGCAGCTGCCGGGGAGCAGGAGTGTTATCGACTTCCCAGGAAGCCCGTGTGCCTGTTGGCCACGCGGGTGCAGGAGGCACAGCAGGCGGTCTTGTAGTAGTTGTAGACACAGAGGCGCGCCTGGACCACCACATTGCAGTTGTAGTACTTGTCCTTGCAGTTTTCATCTATGGTGGAAGAGAACAGAAGAGACTCCTGAGCCCAAGAGGCAGCCAGGACCAGTGGGAAGAGAAGAGAAAGGGTGGGGGACACAGAGCTTCCTCTGGGTCCTATGTGTCTGAGGGAGCCTTGAGTGAGCACATGCGGAGACCAGAGTAGGATGTCAGGGATGTTCAGGAGGGGACTTGTTAGGGCTCAGCAGAAGTGGGAAGGGGGTGAGAGGGAGTGATGAGGGGGTGAAAATGACCCCCACATAATGCACATGTATATGAGCTTGTAAAAAAAATAATAAAGAAAAAAGATATTTGAAAAATAAGTTGAAGAGCAACTGAAGAAGATATCTGATGATTTTTGCTTCCCTTCAGAGAGAGAAAGAGAGATGAAATATGTGTTCAAGAATATCCAAGGACAGTGGGCATGTCTGTAATCCCGGCACGTGGGAGGCTGAAGCAGGAGGACCAGGAGTTCGAGGCCAGCTAGGGCAGCAGACTGAGATGCTGTCTCAAACAAATTATAATAAAGTAGCAATCATGATGAAGAGTGGCACCGGGATGGTGAACGCTGGTTTTGAGGGATTTTCCCCATAAATTGTAAGGAGAAAGTAGAAAATGGTAGTGGAGAGTACCTGAAATTGGCCCATTTTTATGTCTTGTTAAAATAAGTTTAACCGGTGCTGCTTGCATGGGCATCGGTGTGGGGTTATTTGCCAGAGCACAGGCAATTTACAGTAGCTACAGCACCTAAGAGAGAGACTCCTTCCCCAGCCACCAAGAACACCCATGTGCAGTTCCTTGGCTATTCATGGGTATGGTCTCACCAGTTCTTCCTCCTTCACCTAGTGTTCTGGTCATTGAGCCAGGACCTCACCGACTGGCTAGACGGGCTGGCCAGCAAGCCCCAGGGAGCCTTCCATCTCTACTTCCCCAGAGCTGGGGTGACAGGCACATGCCACTGCACCCAGCACTCATGTGGGTGCTGGGGATCTGAACTCTGGTCCTCATGCTTGTGCAGCAGGCATTTCCCCCACGGAGCCACATCCCCAGCCTCCGGACCTTTCCTCATACTTGAGCTGTGCGCGACGGTGTCCTTAGCTACTGTGTGGCCTCTAGAAACTGTAGACTTTACACATAGTTCCTGGCCACTTGTTTGACAGTGAATTTGTGCGTTCATTTTTATTACTGGGGAGGATGTATCCATGTAAATATTTTTTATCCATTGGTAGACATTGTTTCCATTTTTTCCAGTTATAAATAATGATCGTTTAAGCATTTTTGAAAGTCTTCTTTCCGGGTTTTAAGACACATACAGTCTTACTAGATGTGATGGCTGCCTTCCAAACTATGTGAAGCTATTTGTAGTTCTCTTGGCAGAACAGCAGAATTCCATTGTTTTTTTTGACAGGGGGATGCAGCCTCAGCAGGCCCTAGTACTGGAGGGTGACAGTGACCTCCTGATCCTCCTGCCTCTGGCTCCAGTGTCTGGGGATGATCCCAGGTGTGTGCCACCACAGCTGGTTTATGCTGTGCTGGAGATCAATCCCAGGATGCTGTGCATGCTAGGCAAGCACCCTACATGCAGAATTGCACCCCCGGATCAGCAGAACTGTCCCGGCCCCGTCCTGTATTTTCTTCTGTCTAGAATCCCGGGGTGAGGTGGCACACACTGCAGCGGTGTTGCCGCTCAGGGTCCCTTTGCTGGGGGCAGCTCTCTTCTTGCTTTTGGACTCAGAAAGGTCTCTCTATGCAGTGGGTCCACATCTTTATTGGTTCCTGTGTTGCAAGTATCTTCTCTGGCTCATAGCTCTTCCTGGCGCTTTCCTTATGAGGTCACGTGATAAGCAGACACTTGACATTTTAACGTCATTGGAATTCTAGTATTTCCCTTGTGGTTTGTGCTCTGGGGTTTTTGCTTAAGAAAATTTTCCCTCCTCCAAAAGAAATTTGTCTTTCTTCAAAGTCGTTTTTAAAGCTTAATTTTTTTGATTACATTTGTTTATCTAGCTCACTAGGAACCGGTGATGGTGATGGTAGCGATTGTGTGTGTGTGTGTGTGTGTGTGTGTGTGTGTTGAGAGGCAGGGATTCACTTTGACTGTTTCTCCGTATACATGAGAACATACGAACTGTTTCATTACCATTTGTTAAACGGTGCATCCTTTTCCCAGACTCATAGGCTGACCCTATCACATAGCAAGCGTCTTTGGTTCATCTGGGGACTTCTATTTTATATTTTTAGCTTATTCTTCTCTCCCTGTGCCAACATGCCTTGACTTGTGGCAGGGTAAGTATCCCAACACCATTCATCCTCAAAATTGCCCTGGCTATCCTTTGCTCTTATTCGATATAAACAATTTGACATCCTTATAAATAATTTGATATATCCAACCCATATTCGATATATCTAATTAAAAAAATCCTGTATGGATTTTGATTACCATCACTTGAGTGCTGAGGAGCTGGTGGTTACTGGGCAAGCCTGAGGACCTGGGTTTAATACCCAGACCCCACATGGAAGAACTGGGCATGTAGTGCATGCCTGTAATCCTGATGTCGGGAGGATGAGACATGTGGATCTCGGAAGTCTACTGGATGGCCAGCCTAGCCTACACAGCCAGGCACAGGCCAGAGAGGCTCTGCCTTAAAGTAAATACAGAAAAATGGAAGGCGAGATGTGGGAAAACACTTGAAGCTCATCTTAGGAAAGTGAGTTATGATCAGTAGAGAGGACTGCAGGCAGGAGGGCTCAGAAGAAATCTGGATACATCCATGGCTGGGTCATGTACCCAAGCTATTTATCTGTTTGCCTTGGCAACACCACATACTTGAAGTGATTTAAATTCGGATCATCAATGTTCCTTGCATTGCTTTTTACAAAATACAACATCAAAAAGGAAAGTTGTCTCAGGAACACACACATGGGTAATTAAAGATGGTGAATACGGCCTTGGAATGGACTGTGTAGGTTTCAAGGCAAGGCATGGCTGCCATAACCAGTCTGTGTATGTAGCCCGTGTCTCAGCCAGGACATGTATGTAGCCCAAATCTCAGTCAGAACATGCATGTCAAAGGTCTCTCACTGACAAGATGTGAGAGGAGTTTTGTTTCTGGAGTCAGACGTGCTACTGTTGTGCAACGAGGTCCTGCTGGGGGGTTTTGTTTCTGAAACAGGGTTTTATGTGTGCCTTGAACTTGGTAGCAGGAGGTGATGATCCTGATATTCTGATTCTCCTGCCTCTACCCTGGAGGGCTGGACCACAGGCACTTGCCACCACACCTGGTTTCTGTGGTTCTGGGATCGAGCCCAGGGCTTTATGTGTGGCAGGCAAGCTTTCTGACACTGAGTCCCAGCTGTGATTTTTCTTCAAAAACCACTCTGGTTTGGTCTTCTAGATTTAGCTATGGTATCTTTCCAAGGGGGCAGGTGTATATCACTTCCAATATAAAACCCAATAATGGGGGAGAAAAGGAAATTATAAGATTAACAAAATGGAGTATATAAACAAAACTTTGATGACCTCTGATGTGTCTCAAAATGACTCTGCAAAAGATAAAGCTGCTAAAATGTCAAGGCCAAGAGCTCTCATTATGAAACTCCGAGGAAATCCCAGTGGGTTATAGTGTGAAATTATAATATCCCAAGCACCCCAGGACCTCCGCCATGGCTGTGCGCAAGGTCACAGAAAGAACTGGCCAAGCCATTTTTACACTGAATAACTTGATAGAGCTAGAGGGGGCCTCTTTCTCTTTTTTCCCAGATGGGAACCCCAAACTCACCAACTTCAGGGACACAGTCCTGAGGGTTACAGGATTCTCTCTCTTCTGGTTTCAACTGGGGGTCGCAGAGGCTACCGGGGGTCATGTCATCCGACAGACACCGCACTTCCCGGACCCGGAATCCACCCTGACAACTCTTGGAGCACTGTGTGGCAAAAAGAGAGACAATATCAGTCTTCTCAGCAGGCTGTTGAATCGTCACGCCAGAGTGGAATATCAGGGGGAAATGCAAAGATCTCCAAAAAGGGAAATTGAGCACTAAAATACACCCCTGCAAGCCTGCTGACCAGTTCCAGGACCCAGCAGGTAGGACTCCTTGTCCTGTCTGTCTCCCTCCCACCCCCACTCCTTGAGGTGTTCCGAGGGAATTCTGGACTCCTGTCACAACGTCCATAATATTCTAATTTATGGCTCCAAAAAAGGAGCCTGGAACACGTCCCATAGATGCATCTTATTATTTTCAAATTTATATATTTAGTGATTCTAGTCCCATTTTAAAAAATTTTGATGAATTTTATCTATTTTAAAAACAGATTTTCGGCTGGGCGGTGGTGGCACATGCCTTTATTCCAGCACTTGGGGGGCAGAGGCAGGCGGATCTCTGTGAGTTTGAGGCCAGTTTGGTCTACAGAGTGAGTGACAGGACAGGGTCCAAAGCTACAGAGAAACCCTGTCTCATAAAACTAAAAAAAAAAAAAAAGGATCACATTGGAGGGAAGTAGAAAATGGATAGAATAGATATGAATCAGTGTGTAAGTGTAGGACATTTTCAGATGAGAAATAAAAAGCATTATTTAAAAAAACCAAACAAAACAGGAGGCTGGAGAGATAGCTCAGAGGTTAAGAGCACTGGCTGCTCTTCCAGAGGACCTGGGTTCAATTCCCAGCACCCACATGGCAGCTCACAAACACTGGTAACTCTGGTCCCAGGAGATCTGATGGCCTCTGCTGTGGGTGCTACATACAGGTGGTGCACAGACATACATGGAGGCAAAACACTCAGATACATGAGATTAAAATAAGCAAAAATTTAAATATAACAATAATAAAAATCGCAGGATCCACATCTCAGTCATACTTGGAAGTTAACTGATATTTTTATGATTCTAAATCTAAACCCTTACGTCCCCCTTCCATTGTCTTATGCTTGCTTATTTTTAACTTTTAAAAATTACAACAAATTTTCTTTAAGACAGGGTTTCACTGTGCAGCCTTGGCTGGTCTGGAACTCACTATATAGACCAGGCTGTCCTTGAACTCTGCCCACCTCTGCCTCCCAAGTGCTGGGATCAAAGGCGCGCGCCACCACTGTGCCTAGCTCTCCACTTTACTTTTGAGACAGGATCTCTACTGAGTCAGAAGCTCATTGTTCAGCTAGCATGGCTGACTGTGAGTCCCAGGGATCCTCCTGTCTCCAGCCAGTTGCAGGCCTTGCTGCTGGGCTAGCTTACAATGTAGTACATTTAACATTCTCTTAGAGTGCCTTCAACCACCATTTTCTGCAGCAATGTTTGTCAAACTGCAGCCCAAACTACAGCCTGCTTGTTAAACACACACATTTCTTAGCCAGGAGGGGTCCAGAACTGGTCTTTTCTAGCAAGACCGCCAGATACACCCCAAAGCTCAAGAATCACATACATTATGAACACATCTCTGTAGAAACCCAAATCTGCAAGCTTCGGGGATCCCCGACTGAACAGGGTCCCCTCATTGTGACTTCCTAGAGTAGATGCCACAGGGGATCTAGCATCTCTTCTCGGGTTGGGCCCGGGACCCTGCCTGGAGTCATCTCTGGATGACGGTGACTTACCATGCTCCATTCTGTGCTAAACCATTTAGCTCCACAAGGCTTGAGGTGGCAGGCCTGCTGGCTTGGAGGCTTCTCCAGGAATGAACACTCATAAGGGTCTAGCACTTCAAAGATGTCTGCATTCTTCCTAACACAGATCACCTCCCTCTGCTGTGTCCCACTGCCACACTCAACGGAACACTGGAGAAGAAGCAGAGACAGACGGATGTCATATCATGCAAAGGGAGAGAAAACCACGCTCTTGGAGGGACGTCCTCAATCCTTCCACCGAGGCACATGAAAAAGAGCAAGACAGAGGATACAAGAAGAGAAGTTGGCGCAGACCTAGTAAAGTCCATTGCTGATGAGGAATATAGGGGCTGGAGGGACAGTTCAGTGGGTAAAATGTTTGCTGCCCAAGTGAGAAGACACGAGTTCAGATCCCCAGCACCCATGGAAAGGCCGGGTGTGACTTTTAATGCTTTAATGCGTGTTGGGAGGTAGAGACACAGAGAATCCTGGAGTCTTGCTGGTCAGCTAGTAAGCTGTAGGATTAGAGAGGGAACTTGTCTAAAAAAATAAAATGGAGAGAGATGAGGAGGAGACACTGCTATTGGTCTGTATCAGTGCTGGGACAACGTCTCGGTACAACTGATACCTGACCCGCACTGCAGCCCTGTCTCTGGGACCACAGCAGCAGCAAGAGTCAGAGAAGATGGGCCAGGACCTAGGCCCCAGGCCCCAGTGGGTTCTCAAGGACATGGAGTGACAGCCCAAGGATAGATCCATTTTTGCCTGTGGGTGACGGTGACCTGGGGGGCGGTGATGGTGGTGTCTGCAGGGGTGACAGCGGTCCCACCACTCATGGCACCCTCTGGAGCACCCACTGTCTTCCACTACACTACTGCGTGTCTTCCCAGGGGGCAGTGCTGTAGCTGGTGATCAGTTGGGATCTGGACTTAGAAACAACCTTGGGTCACACACGCTGGCAGACCCGCTCCAATCCAGTTTACTGTCCCATGTCTGCTGGGCGAATGCGGGCCATAAGCATGGCTTCTTGGCACATGGTTAGGGACAAAGGCATGGCACGCCTGCCAGGTAAAAGCAATAGGCACAGAGAGAAGAGATCTAATTTTGACCAAGTGCTTCCCCACTGCCAGCCATGGGCGACGCCTTGTGTGACCTGACTCCTAAGCTCTCGGTGACAGCCAACCTTGACTGTCAACCTGGCACAACTCCATCAGATTGGTCCGTGGGCGTTTTCTTGAGTTTAGTTGATGCAGGAGGGCCCAGCCCACTGTGGGAGGTGTTATCTCTAGGCAGATGGCCCTGGACTAAGAAGGTAGCTGACTGCGCCTGAGGGAGCCAGTAAGGAGCCGGCCTCTGCGGTTTCTACTTCAGTTACTGCTTGAGCCCAAGCCCTACTTCCTTTAATGGTGGCCTGTGACCCAGAAGCATGGATGGAAGGAGCCCTCTCCTCCCCAGGTTGGTTTTGGTCAGAGTGTTTATTACAGCTACAGGAAAAGTAGGCTCCCTCCTGACAGCCCAAGTAGAGTGCCATTGTCCTCTGTGTCTTAAGATAAGGAAACAGACTCAGGGAGGTGAAAACCTCACCAAGTCAGGAATCCCACGAGACGGGAGCTGAATTCAGTTACACAGGCATCCGACAGGGACGCTCACGAAACTAGCACTGGAAATACTTCAACCCATTTTCTCTGAATCTTTTGAACTTTACAGATTTTATCAATCAAAACATTAAAGGAAATCAAAGAAAACATTTTCCCATGTTGTCTCCATAAAAACAATTCATTATAAAGTGTATATATATGTACACACACACACATACACACACACACACACACACACACACACATTTCAAGACAGGCTGTTATGTAGTTCAGGCTGGCTTCGAACTACCCATGTAGCCAAGGATGATTTTGAACTTCTTATCCTTCTGCCTCTACTTCTCAAGTCCTGGGATTACAGATATGCACAACATGTCTGATTTTGTGTAGTATTGAGGATTGAACCTCGGGGCTTCATGTATGTTAGGCAAATTCTCTACCAACCGAATGTGACTATATATACACAGATATACATGTATTAATTTATGTGTATGTGGGTTTTACCTGCATGTATGTATGTGTACCACATGAGTGCCTGATACTCACAGAACCAGACGAGGGTATCGGATCCTGGAACTGGAGTTAATGATGGTTGTGACCCACCATGTATGTACAAGGAACTGAACTCAGGTCTTGGCAAGAACAACAGTACTTTTGACTGATGAGTCTTTTTACATTTTCATATTCTCTCATTGGCTACTGTATTATGTGCACCTAGAACACCCTAATGACCATTGGTTTTTTTTTTTGTTTTTTTGTTTTTTTGAGACAGTATCGTGTAGATTAGGCTGGCCTTGAATTCTCTATCTTCCTGCCTTAGACTCTTGAGTGTTGTGATTACAGGTGGGTCTCACCATCCTTGCTTGACTGTTGTTACGGTTACAGGTGGGTCTCATCATCCCTGTTGTTACTATGGTTATGTGATATTTTCCTGGGTAATGACAAATGATAACATCCTAATGTCATGTGAATTCCTGTTGAAGAAGCATTTTTTTTCCTTTGGATAATTGCTTTTTTAAAACTTTGTTATAAGACAATATGTAGTCCTGGTTCTCCAGGAACTCACTATGTCAACCGGGCTGTCCTTGAACCCACAGAGATCGGCCTGCCTCTGCCTCAGAGTGCCAGGACTAAAGGTACGTGCCACCACACCCAGCTGATGCCTAGTTCTTTAACACTGACCCCCACGGTGGAACTACTGAGGAAAGACAAACGGGCACCTTCTGCCTCCTGCCCTTTGCTGCCAACTTGCTCTCCAAGGGGCCTGTATCAGTTACAGGGAAAGGCAGCCAATTTGACCAAGGTCTGTTTTTAAAGCTACTTAAAAAAAAATTCTCTATGGAGCTAGAGTCTGGATAATGTTTAAATCATGACCTCCAGCCAAAAAGGCCTTGGAGAATCAGCCAGCCCCGGGAGCCAGGTGCTAAGTGGGCTGAGAACTCAAATCCAGGGTGGGGCCAGAGGAGGGTGGAGCACGGGCTGTGACAGGGCAGTCAGAGGGGCGGCTCTCTATACTCCTCAGGGGTTCATGGTCAGTGTTGGAACAGGGAGGGAAAATTAGCTCATCAATCTGTAAGTTAGTTTAGTTTCTTTATTATTTGCTCTTTATAATGTACACTTCCAGCTCAAAAAAAAAAAACTCAGTGTGTATGATGTATGTGTACGTGTGCAGGCAAACATGGGCCATGGTGCATATGTGGAGGTCACACCAAGCTTGCATGTTGGTCCTCATATTCTACTTTGAGGCAGGGTATCTTGTTTGCTCTGTGTAGTCCAGGCGGCTGCTTGCAAGGCTCTGGGGATTCCTCTGTCTCCGTCTCCTAGCTCAACAGAGAAGTACTGGGATTGCAGGTGAGTGCTACCGTGTCGGGCTTTCACATGCTTCTGGGGGGTCTGAACACAGGTCCTCATGCCGGTGCAACAGGAGCTTTCCCTGCCCAGCTACCTTTCGGGGGCCCAGTCTCCAGACTTTTAAAGGGAAGCTTCTGACATCGTCAAGTACTGACAAACCAGCTTCAGTCATGGTAGCGATGTGGCAGCGAACGCCACCTGCGGCAGTGGTGGCCACTGGCTGCACCTACTGTATGGCGGGCACTGGACTACTCACAGATGTAGCTCAAGTGCTTAAGTGAGCACACAGTAGGTGCACAGTGGATCTTGTTAGCTGAACAAGGCGCTTAGGCGAGCACATTGTGGGTGTACCTATAGGCTGAACAAGGTGCTTAGGTGAGCACGCAGTAGGTGCACCTGTTGGCTGAACAAGGCACCAAGAACACAGCAGCTTTTCCGGGTCACGGCGGCAGCGATTAGCACAGTCAGATTTAAAGCTGTTTCTAATCCCTCTGCTATGTTGTCTCTTGCCAGGGGCGGACAGATGGACCCAAATCTGTGGCTCGCCTGACTTTGGGGTTACAAAGATGTACCCAGCTCTGGCCACTCACCTGACTCCAGCTGCCGGAGAACCACTCCACCTTGCCTGCACAGGGCCCGTTGTCACACGGTGTAGTCTCTGCCGGCCTGTTGTTCCCGCAGCCTTCCAGAGGCAGGCTGCTGACGTGGTTGGTCATGCACACCACTGTGCGAGTCCTCACGCCAGCCCCACACTCGGCTGAGCACTGTGAGACAGAAGGAGGGCGTATGAGTGGAACCCCTGAGGGTTCTGCGGATACTTCCAGATGATGCCAAGGACTTGCTGTCCCTCATACTCGAGAGACAGCTGTCAACCTCTCTCACTAATGACACACTTCCACAACAGGACGTCTCTGCCTTATCTATTACTCCTGCCTTCTACAGTTTCAGTTACTCATGGTCAAAAGCAGTTTGTTTGGGTTATATGGGTCCATTCTTCTGGACTTAGGTTCCAGTATTTTAGCCGATGCCCTATTCTGGACAGAGTCAGCGTGGCAGCAGTTCCCTGGTCACATGAGAGCCCTTGCACATGGCTCTTTCTTCCTGGAAGCCCTTCCCTTCACCAGGAAACACCAGAATCCTTGAGGGCTGGGCTCAGATGCCCTTTCCTCTGTCAATCATCCTTGCTTGCCCCTTTCACACATTTGCTGCAGCCTCCTAAGTCACATGGTTTCCCTACCCCATTCCTTCGTTTCTAAAACTGTTTAACAATTTTGTGTGTATATACAATGCATAAATATGTATACATTGTGTGTGTGTGTCTGTGTGTTCGTGTGTCTGTGTACCATGGTGCTTGCATGTTGGTCCTCACATTCTACTTTGAGGCAGGGTATCTTGCTGTTCACTCTGGGTAGTCCAGGCTGACTGGCCTACAAGGCTCTGGGGATTCCTCTGTCTCTGTCTCCTAGCTCAACAGGGAAGTACTGAGATTACAGGTGCGTGCTACCGTGTCCGTCTTGAACATGGTTCTGGGGGGGGTCTGTATGTCTGTGTGTGTGGACGGGGACCGGAAGTTCATGGTGGGTGTCTTCCTCAATTGCTTTCCACTTTATTTTTTGGGTCAGGGTGGCTCACTGAACCCGAAGTGCACCAGTTTAGCTACACTGGCTGACCAACGAACTCCAGGGATCCATCCCTCTAATGCCAGGCTTTCTGGAGAGAAGAGAGAATTCCTGCCAGCAGAGGTGGGGAGTTGACTGTCAGCTGATTGATTAAACAGCCTTTCTCTCTGGTCACTTCTCACACCTTTGTCACTCTCCTGTCCTCACCATCCCTCCATGGCCAACCCCCTTTCTCTCATCTAGTAACTTCTTCGTATATTTCCTCCTTGTTAGAGTGGACACAAACCCTCCAGACAAGCTCCTTTTTGCAGCCTTACTTCTTTCCTATGAAGTTCCCTTTGCCACAAAATATATTAACATCGAATTAAAATCTCTCTCTAGTTCAGCAGTTCTCAACCTGTGGGTTGAGATCCCTTTGGGTTGAATGACCCTTTCACAGGGGTTGTCTAAGACCAATGGAAAACACAGATATTTATATTATGATTCATGATAGTAGCAAAATTACAATTATGAAACAGCAAGAAAAATAACTTTATGTTTGGGGGGCTACCACAACATGAGGAAGTGTATTAAGGGGTCACAGCATTAGGAAGGCTGAGAAACACTGTTCTAGCTAAGAGTTTGTTAGTTCAATCACAGGCTGAAGCCAGAGAACCTAATGGCAGAGGGAGTATCCTGCTGCATCACCCCCAGGGTCATGCATTGTCTTTATGACTTCAGCTCTGTTCGAATCACTGTGAGAAATCTGAGACAATGAATCAGCTCCTTGGGTTAAAAAGAAGCCTTTGTTACAGTAACTGGAGACATTTTTGTCCTAGCCTTGTATTCTGAAGTTCACGACTGTGCAACTCAAGGTGCTTAAAAATCTCTTGTAAAGAATAAAAAACTCCAGGGCGCTGGAGAGATTGACTCAGCAGGTACTGGTGCTTGCTAGCTGGGCGTGGTGGGACAAATTTTTAATCCCAACACTTGGGAGGTAGAGGCAGGAGATCTCTCTGAATTTGAGGCAAGCCTGGTCTACACAGTGAGTTGTTGTGGTCATGGTATCTCTTCACAGCAATAAAACCGTGATTAAGATAGTAACCAAAGGGGTTATGCAGCTATGGGGTCCATCCATGCATCTATGGGGTCCATCTATGCAGCTATGGGGTCCATCTATGCAGCCATGGGGTCCATCTATGCAGCTATGGGTCCATCTATGCAGCTATGGGGAAGCTGCCATGCAGCACTCCAATGCTGCTGTGCTGGCATCTCCTGCCCTCCTGCAGGAAATCCCTTGCCCATGCTCTGTTAGAAAGCCCAACAAACTCTTGGGTTTTCCAGGGCTAGCTTCGCCGATGCAATCCTATGAGGACAAGTTAGACGTTATCGACACCTCCCTGGGGGAGGAATCAACTTTGGGATTCTGAGCGACCAGCGTGCCTCTGAGTGGCTCCGGGAGTTCCTGTGACATAGCTGATCCCTGCCGGGGGCACACTCACCCTGTCACTCCATTCTGTAAGGAACCAGCTCTTGGCGCAGGGCCCCACATCACAGTTCTCGATGTCATTCGGTCGGAGCTTCATGTTGCACTCCTCGTCATCCACCACATCCCCGATGTTGCTCACGCACTTCACGTCGCGGGTCCGCTGCCCCACGCCACAGGGCACCGAGCACTAAAACACAGCAGGCTTTGGTTTCGCGTCCTCATTCTTTGTCACCTGACCCTCAGGACCCCGTTGTTGCGTCCCCTGCAAAGCCTGTAATTCCCCGGGGAGGTAATGATCATGGGAAAATTATGAGAACCTTTTGGGTGGCATCTTGTTTACTGGCCTGCTCAGGGCCCAGCCTTTCCATCGCCAGGAGGGATGCACAACACTACAAGGTGCTGGCTCTATTAGTGGTTGCCAGCCTTCTCTTCATACATGGGAGGCGCAGGGCCGGGGAAGTACACGGCTCACATAGGCTCACTCGCGAGACTGGATATAGGCCAGGTACACCAGCCTGAACTCTGCTGAGCCGTCGGCATGAAATATGTCGGCAATCAGGCTTTCCGGCTAACACTCCCCACCCTACCCATCACGGGTCCTAGCGGGGGAGGCCGGAGAGTGGCAGTGGGTATCGGAGGGAGGGAGGTCCCATACCGAGGTCCAGTCGGTCCGAATCTGCCACTCGCTGCAGATCTTGAGCTGGCAGGTGCTGGTGGTCTCAGGCTTCTCCAGGTGCTGGCAGCGGTAGGGCTGCACTGTCAGGCTGCGGTTGGCATACACCTGGCGGCACAGAACCTGGCGGTGCTGCATGCCCAGGCCGCACGTTTTGCTGCACTCAGACCACTCCCCGATGTCCCAGCTGGCTCACGGGGGGGGGAGGGGGGAGGGGGGAGGGGAGAAGATTGGTTAACAGGAATACAGAGCAAAAATCACCGGGACCACTCCCCGATGTCCCAGCTGGCTCACGGGAGGGGGGAGGGGGGACGGGAGAAGATTGGTTAACAGGAATACAGAGCAAAAATCACCGGGACCACTCCCCGATGTCCCAGCTGGCTCACGGGATGGGGGGAGGGGAGAAGATTGGTTAACAGGAATACAGAGCAAAAATCACCGGGACCACTCCCCAGAGCAGGGCCTAAAGGTCATGTGACTGTAGGGGAGCCTGTAGGACACGCTATTACTGTGACTAGATTGCCCAGATTCTGTACACAGTTATAGAAAGAGTGAGAGGGTACAGACGATTTCTATTTGGTGATCAAAGCAGACTCTCCCAATGACCCCCAGATTGGCTTAATTTCCCTATAACACTAACCCTCCTGGGAGCTAAAAGATGTCACCTAGGCATTCTCTGATGTCCACTATTTCCATGTCCTAATTTCTTTCTTCTCCTTCTCCTTCTTTCCTCCTCCTCCTCCTCCTCCTCCTCCTCCTCCTCCTCCTCCTCCTCCTCATCTTTCTTTTGACAGGGTTTCTCTGTGTAGCCTTAGTTGTCCTGGAACTAGCTCTGCAGATCAGGCTGGCCTTGAACTCACAGAGATCCACCTGCCTCTGCCTCCCAAGTGCTGGGATTAAAGGCGTGCGCCACCACAGCTAGCTTCCATGCCCTAATCTTGACAGTTACTGAATGAGTGACAATCAAGTGTTTAGCACATATCTGGGTAAAAATTATATTTTTCTTTACTCCAAAGATCAAACTTTGACCTTTTGGGACCTGTCCCAATCCATCTAAGACAGTCTATTTATCACTCAATAGCCTGTCGCCAACCTCTTCCAGCACACTTCCTGACTCTTCCGGGCAGATCTGGTCCTATCTGTCTGTATACGCAGCTCACTTACGAGCTGCCTCACTGGGTTCTCATTCCTACGGCCTCCCTTGTTTTCCTGATGGGATTCCTGGCTAAGCCTGATGCCTGCTACAGACCACCAACTCCCCAGTTCTTCCAGAAACACGGGCAGGCCCACTAAATGGTCTGGATCCTGGACACAGTTCCTGACACGGGTTAAAAACTCAACTGTATCTGCTACTGAGATTTTATACCCAGCAACCTGAAGTGACCCGAGGAAAGGTGACCTAGCCAGAGAGGGCTCTTACAAGGCTGGGCAGGGGAAGAGGTTGCAGGGTTCCTCCTCCGGGGTTGGCTTCATGCTGGAGTCGCAGTAGCTCTCGGGAACCTCCTCATGTGTGTTTCTGTGCACACAGCGGAAGATCGGGTACTGTGATCCTGTAAAGAGAAGGAAGACGCTGAAGGCCAGCTCACACCCTGGGATGGTAGCCCACAATGAAGATGCTGGAGGTCAGCTCACACCCTGGGATGCTAGCCTGTGGTGAAGATGCTGGAGGCCAGCTCACACCCTGGGACGCTAGCCCGTGATAAAGATGCCCAAGGCCAGCTCACACCCTGGGATGGTAGCCTGTGGTGAAGATGCTGGAGGCCAGCTCACACCCTGGGATGGTAGCCTGAGGTGAAGATGCTGGAGGCCAGCTCACACCCTGGGATGGTAGCCCGTGATGAAGATGCTAGAGGCCAGCTCACACCCGGGATGCTAGCCCATGGTGAAGATGCCCAAGGCCAGCTCACACCCTGGGATGCTAGCCCGTGGTGAAGATGCTGGAGGCCAGCTCACACCCGGGATGCTAGGTCATGGTGAAGATGCTGGAGGCCAGCTCACACCCGGGATGCTAGGTCATGGTGAAGATGCTGGAGGCCAGCTCACACCCTGGGGCGCTAGCCCGTGATGAAGATGCTGGAGGCCAGTTCACACCCTGGGACGCTAGCCCGTGATAAAGATGCCCAAGGCCAGCTCACACCCTGGGATGGTAGCCCGTGATGAAGATGCTAGAGGCCAGCTCACACCCGGGATGCTAGCCCATGGGGAAGATGCCCAAGGCCAGCTCACACCCTGGGATGCTAGCCCGTGGTGAAGATGCTGGAGGCCAGCTCACACCCGGGATGCTAGGTCATGGTGAAGATGCTGGAGGCCAGCTCACACCCGGGATGCTAGCCCACGGTGAAGACGCCCAAGGCCAGCTCACACCCGGGATGCTAGCCCATGGTGAAGATGCTGGAGGCCAGCTCACACCTGGGATGCTAGGTCATGGTGAAGATGCTGGAGGCCAGCTCACACCCGGGATGCTAGCCCGTGGTGAAGATGCTGGAGGCCAGCTCACACCTGGGATGCTAGGTCATGATGAAGATGCTGGAGGCCAGCTCACACCCTGGGATGCCAGCCTGTGGTGAAGATGCCCAAGGCCAGCTCACACCTGGGATGCTAGGTCATGGTGAAGATGCTGGAGGCCAGCTCACACCCGGGATGCTAGCCCATGGTGAAGATGCCCAAGGCCAGCTCACACCCTGGGATGCTAGCCCGTGGTGAAGATGCTGGAGGCCAGCTCACACCCGGGATGCTAGCCCATGGTGAAGATGCTGGAGGCCAGCTCACACCCGGGATGCTAGGTCATGGTGAAGATACTGGAGGCCAGCTCACACCCGGGATGCTAGCCCACGGTGAAGATGCTGGAGGCCAGCTCACACCCGGGATGCTAGCCCATGGTGAAGATGCTGGAGGCCAGCTCACACCCGGATGCTAGCCCGTGGTGAAGATGCTGGAGGCCAGCTCACACCTGGGATGCTAGCCCACGGTGAAGATGCCCAAGGCCAGCTCACACCCAGGATGCTAGCCCATGGTGAAGATGCTGGAGGCCAGCTCACACCCGGGATGCTAGCCCATGGTGAAGATGCTGGAGGCCAGCTCACACCCGGGATGCTAGCCCACGGTGAAGACACCCAAGGCCAGCTCACACCCGGGATGCTAGCCCATGGTGAAGATGCTGGAGGCCAGCTCACACCCGGGATGCTAGGTCATGGTGAAGATGCTGGAGGCCAGCTCACACCCGGGATGCTAGCCCATGGTGAAGATGCTGGAGGCCAGCTCACACCTGGGATGCTAGGTCATGGTGAAGATGCTGGAGGCCAGCTCACACCCGGGATGCTAGGTCATGGTGAAGATGCCCAAGGCCAGCTCACACCCGGGATGCTAGCCCACGGTGAAGATGCCCAAGGCCAGCTCACACCCGGGATGCTAGCCCACGGTGAAGATGCCCAAGGCCAGCTCACACCCGGGATGCTAGCCCGTGGTGAAGATGCTGGAGGCCAGCTCACACCCGGGATGCTAGCCCGTGGTGAAGATGCCCAAGGCCAGCTCACACCCGGGATGCTAGCCCGTGGTGAAGATGCTGGAGGCCAGCTCACACCCTGGGATGCTAGCCCATGGTGAAGATGCATAGGCATTTGGATTCTGATGAAGGGAGGGTACAGGACTAGCGAGTTCAAGTCCCATATCCCTTCATCTTGTTGCTTATATAGGCATACCCACAAGGCTCTGCTGGGGGCTGTTGAGTGTGCAAAGGACACACATACACACACACACGGGGGGGATTTTTTGTTCACAAGGAGCTTACAATCTATTTATAAAAGGAAGCTAAAAAATGTTTATAGTTGTTCAAGTTATATGAGATGTGTTTGGGAAAGTGGCTCAGGCAATTAAGCCCTTGTAAAAAAATTAAAAAAAAATTAAGCCCTTGTACAAGGACCCATGTTAGATTACCCAGTGACTATCAGAAAGCCAGACATAGAGGTACATGCTTAGAATCCTAGTGTTGGGGAGGTGGAGACAGGTGGATTCCTGGAGCTGGATGACCAAACACCTAGCCTAATTAGTGAGCCCCAGGTCCCAACAAGAGGTCTTCTATCAAAAACAAGGACGGCCTTCCAGAAGGATGACAGCCAAGGTTGTCCTCTGATATCCACACACATACGCACTCATATGCACCTGGTTACCCATGAACTCACGTACATGTGCATATGCACATGGACATACATGTATGTGTACACACATGCACCCACAGAGACAGTAAAAGAGCTCACTAGTCAATGGGCACAGACAGAAACACAGGTGTCAGAGGGCAAATGCTGCACCTGGGTGTGTCTGTGCGCACGTGCAAGGGAAGGGGGCTGTCCCCTGGATTAGTGTTGCATGAATTCGCCTGCCAGCTAGGAGTATAAGCATCCAAGAGGTTGAAGCAGAGGAGATGCGAGCATTACAGAAGAGAAGCTGCCTTCCTGATTTGAAACACATTTCATGCAATCCTCTCAGTTTCTTGATCCAGGGTCTTGGTCTTCTCAGCATCTGTCTACTTCCCAGGAGGCCCTGCTTCTTAGCGCAGCCCTGGTTCACCTCCGTAACCCCAGTGCCTAACAGAGACCTAAGCTTTTAGTACTTTTTTTTTTTGGAAAACTAGTAACTGCTTTATGTTTTTGTTTTGAGTAGTTTCATTACCTTAATAAGGACTAACCATTTTCTATAAAAAGCCAGTTATGGTCAATTTCTGTGTCTTAATTCAATTTTGTCTTTCTCTTCTGCCACCTGCTGGCAGAATTTGAGTATTGCTGGTGCCATTATGAAGTGGGAGTAACTGTTGGCCCTACAAACTAGGCTAACATACAACGTTAATCATTTACAATCTAAGCTAACATAACAACTCTAATTCAGTTAAAAACTATGCCTATTTGTGCCTCTAACTGGTCAGATATTTTTAAAGAACTGTAACTCACTATAATTTTAATTGCACCACGAAGGCTGACTTTTTTCTTCTATAGTGTCTTTTAAAACATCTTATTTTAATTTGTTCTTTGAACATTTTATATGCACACATAGAGCATTCTGACTACCTCCACTCTCGCTCCTCCCGCCCCTATTATCACCTGCTCCATATAGGGAATCCATGCCTGGTACTCTATAATGCCAGTTAAAAACCCACTGCTAATAGGTGCTAGACTCGAGGACAACTTACTTCTGTTCTCAGTGTCACCTCCAAAGCGACAAACCATCAAGCTGCCTCCTAGATACTTATGCCCACAAGGAGAGGCCACTCTCTGTCATCCCTTCGTAAGGACCGGCAGAGCATGCACACACACAGGGCTGCTCAATGACTGTGAGTAAGAGATGGCTGAATGCCCGGCCACAACATTTTAACGTAAGTACCTCAATGTCATCAGTCACGGATGTGACCAAGGCTCCTTCAAGATGACCTTGTGTGACACCTTGAGCCAGAGGGTAGTTTGTATAAGAAACATGGCCATTTGTAGGAGAGTTTTGAATCTGAGATAATGATTGTCGAAATTACTGTGGCAGTAAAGATGTACTTAATAACTCAAGATCGCTATTCAAAATGTTCCAATTAAGTCCAAGTATCAGCTGAGTTCAAAGCAGTTGAGACTGTAAAATTAATAGCAAACAAAGCCTTTTTTGGTATTAAGTGTTTTCCAGCAACATGCCTACATCCATTATATGGTATATATTTTATTTTAAAATTTTGATTTACATGGGTATTTTGGCTGCACGTCTATCTATGCACCACATTTGTGCAGTGGCCACAGAGGCCAGAAGACAGTGTCAGATCCCCTGGAACTGGAGCTGCTGACAGTTGTCAGCAGCCATGTGGATGCTGGAAATTGAACTTGGAGCCCCAGAAAGAAGAGTGTTCTTAACTGCCGAGCCATCTCTCTAGCCCTAGGAGACTTTTTTAAAAATTAAATTAAATCCACATTAAGCACACTGTGCTAAATCACAAAGTTGAGTAAGACTCGGTCCACAGCCTGCACATTTGAAATCAGCTCTTAGGGGATTAAGTAAAGGTTTTAGCTTGTCGGTTCCTTTCCCTCCAGACTGTGCGGCTATAACTTTTCCACTTACAGCTCTGTGGATTGAAAAGCAGAGGTGAGGCACCCCAACTGCTTGGCACTCATAGAGGGGAAACCTAAGACATTCAGCCCAAACGATACAAGATACTGTAGGAATGCTCTTGTGCCTGGAAAGATGGATCTTGCTTGGGGTTGTCTGGCAGATGGCCACCGCTTGCTTCCCTCCCATTTGACCGCTTTTATATGCATTGCCCATTGTCCATGGTCCAGCTCCATGGAAAGGTACCAAATAAATGAAATCAGAGGCTCTTTGTCTCTCCGGCACTGAGAAAATATCAGCTTTATAACTCTTGCTTCTGGTGACTGCAATGTTTCTTTCTTTGGGTTAGCTTTAGTATCTGCAGAAAGGGATGCATGTTACTTGGCATGTCATCTGGAGTCCTATTGTTCAAGACTGAGCTGCAGTGATTCCTCCGATTGCTAACAAACAGGGGCAGTGGGGTGGGGTAGGTGCTGGCTGGGTGGCAGGATGGACCCAAGATTGGTTGTCCTTGCTTGTGCACGGGCATACTGATCAAAACAGAAGTATGATTTACTGGAAGAGGAAGCAGAACTTGGGGAGCAGTGTTGAGGTCTGTGAGACACAAATAACTTGAGAGTTAGGCAAAAGAAGCATCAAGAAAATAATTGAGTAACTCCAGACTTGGAAATACAAGAACTAACAGAGCCAAGCCAGGAGACAGGCAGAGGTCTGGGCATTGTGGCTGAAGGCCACAGTGATCAAGGGCCACTCCTGGGTACCATCCTGAGAGAGGGAAGTCTTGGGTGGTAGGATGCTGCAGAAATGGTAGCTGGACATGTGAGAAGCCCAGGTGTGGTCCACTTCACCAGGGAGGATGGGGGGCTCTGGGAGGGGGCTGAGAGGAGCAGATGATGCTCTCTCAAGGGCAGGGGCTTGGGTTTGGTAGCAGAGGAGGACACAGGGCCAGCACACTCGTCATTGGTGCTGAGGACTGAGTTTAGCTCCATGCTTTGTGCACTGGCATTGCACTGCCATGGCCTGCATGTCTCCTGCCATCACTCCTGTGGGAACACAGCGTTCCAGGTGTGTCCCTCCCGTGGCTCTGAAGCCAGAGAGATTGTGAAGAGGAGCCTTGAAGAAAAAGCATAAGTGGACATGGACTTTCTCTTCTTCTCCCACGTGACAATCAGCAGGGGCTGGTGAGCGTCTCCCTCGCTCCCTTCAGTCCGCATCTCCAACCTTCTGCTACTCTGTCACAGCATTGCCATCTACAAAGTTCCTGCTCAAGAGCCTCACAATCAAGTTCACAAAAATTTTCTTTTTGTTTTATTTTAAGTAAATTTACAACTTTGGTGTCCGGCTGCATTCATAGCTACCTTTGGTCACTTGCAGTCCCTGGCCACAGGAGGTTCCTCCATCCTGTCTATTACAGAACAGAGAGGGAATGACCACCTCGATGGGCCAGGAGCACCCACCCAGGGAACAGTGGCAGGGTTACACACTCTGTTCTTGCTAACAACACTCACAAATCAATATTGTGTAGTCCCTGGACAGGGTGACACACACGTCATTCTGGATTGCAAATCACACAGGGACAGTTTTCATCTGAGCTATCTGGGCACCGCAACAATTCATAAGTGGGAGAAAAGTTGGAAAATAGTCCATTTGGGTCTCAGGTTCCTTTGTCAATGCTGAGACACCATGCTTATCCTTATAATGCCTTGGACAAAATCTTATTAAAATGATTTTGGCCTTTTGGCAGAATTATCTCTAGCTCTCTGACTCTGTTAAGACACAGTCTACAGGTGTCTCATTTCCCCTCACAAACCTAAAACAGAAGCCAGCTCAGTCTGTCTTCAGGCTGCACTCTCTGGTCATGTGGTCTGAGCACAACACAACGTGTGCAGTGAGAGCTCATACATTACTTCTCCAGTCAGCAGGTGGAATCACTGTGAAACCATCGAGGCTTTGAGCATGAAGAACTCCTGCCCCTACCCTACCCCCTGTGCACCCACAAGGAACCAAAGACCTAAATCCTAGTCCCCAAAGTCACTAGGCCAGTGCTCCTATGAAAAAGACAGAAGCAGCTGTCGAAGCTTTCTGTGTTTGTTTGTGTGTATGTATGTGTTTGTGTATCTTTATGTGTGCACGTGTGCTAATTACCAGACTTGCAAAGCTCATACCCTCGGCTCCACAACTCTCTCTCTCTCTCTCTCTCTCTCTGTGTATGTGTGTGTGTATGTGTGTATTCACACGTACGAACGTCAGGGGATAACCTGGGGTATTGTTCTACCTTGTTTCAGACAGGCTTTCTTTGTTGTTTTCTGCTGTGTAGGCCAGGCTAGCTAGTTTGGGAGTCTCTGGAACTTTTTGTGTTTGTTTGTTTTTTGAGACAAGGTTTCTCTGTAGCTTTGAAGCCTGTCCTGGAACTATCTCTTGTAGACCAGGCTGGTCTTGAACTGAGGGGTGCTGAGGTGGATTATACTCATGCTACATAGCCAACTTTACTTGGCTATTAGGATTTGAACTCAGGTCTTCATGTGGAACCATCTTCCCAGCCCAGATTCAAGTCTCTTGAGAGAAAAAAACAACAACAACAAACTGCCAAATTAATGTCCGGGGTGAATCACACAGTCTTTCAGGTTTTAGAAAACTCTGGGGGTGGGGGAAGGCCGGACACAAAGTCTTTGTTTCTGTAGTATCGTCCTCTCAGAGAACAACTATTTCAGGGAGACAACAGAGTAAGATGCCCTCATCCTGTATAGGGAGCAGCCCATAATTATGTAGAACATGGGTGATCCTATTGAAGGGACAAAGCCAACTCCATTTTGTGCTGGGCCCCAAGGTAGATATCCGTGAAGCGGGAAATCCCCTAGACTGCAGCCCAGATGCTCAAGGTGGATATCAGCAAAGTCCCCTAGACTGGAGCCAATCAGAGAGTCACCGTACCCCTTATGGCCATGACTGTAGATTTGTGGGGTTTTGCATTTTAAACCCTGACTAAGAACGGTGGGGCACCTCCCCAGCCCCCGCTGCGAGACAAGGTGCCTACCACAGTTTGTACCGCATGATTAAACCTTAGTTTTGCATTTCGGTGAGTCTGTGTCTCTGGTGGTCTTCTTGGGGTCTCCGTGACCTGGGCACAACACTATAACATGGGTGTTTCCTGCAAGGGGGATCTCAGGTCTCCTCGAAAGAGTCAGAGTCAGTTTCCAGTCCCAGGAGCCCGACAGCCACACAGGGATTTCCCATCTATCCTGACTGGATTCCCCGCGGGAAGGACCCTACATCGTGTTACAGTCTAGACGTGATGTGGACCCCTTCACACGTCACCCTTTGTATAAAACTGCAGCTGTGTTCTGCTTTGAGCCTAGTCACTGAAACTCCGCCTTTCTCCTCAGCCCTATAGTCCTATCTCCCTTTAGCTTGGAGAGAGGCTACATTGCTTCTTGCAGTATGTGGGCTCCCTTCTTATAACAGGTAATAAACATGGCATTGTTAGGCTAGGGGTTTTCCTTGGTGGTCCTAGCTGACTGGGTTAGGTCACTGAATGAACTTGAAATTCAATTTTTTATCAGGAAAATACGAAAGGAGAAGATGAAGATGAAAGCTGATGAGGGAAATCTAAGCCCCCCCAGATATGTTATTTCCCCCTGAAATCTTTAGATTTGAGGATGGCACTCACATAAGCCACCTATAAAGTTGATTTATCAACTTTCAGGCCCCAAAGTATATGGGTATGTTCTCTGATTGTGCTTCCCAGCACAGGGAAAGCTCAGCTCAGCAGGTCCGTGTTGCTCAAATGCTATGGATTTTGTTGTTGTTGTTGTTGTTTTGTTTTTAACTGCCTGTCTTTGTTGAGTAGCTTTCAGGACACAACCTTGGAGCATGGCAACACTCTGCCTGGAGGGACATTAGCCTTTCTCCCCCATTCCCTCTGCCTTGCTGAAAACCCTTACATTACATTCCTAAAGCTAACCCCCAATGTCTATTCCTTATTTGGCTACTTTTGTCTCCTGAGGCTGACTACCAAAGTCCAGCAATCATAGCCCCCTTTGGTTCACCTAATTAACATGCCCAATTAAAATATACCACTGCATCCTAGCCCATTCTAACACACACCTTCCCTTTCTCTCCTCTTAAAAATCACACCTGCAAGGTCTTTGCTGCTATTTCTCTGCCTGAGTCAGAAAGCAGCCATGTTAACTTCTCTTCCTTGCTTAATAAAGGATCTCTGTGAAAACAGGTGTTGGGGTGTGGTTTGTGCCTAATCTGGGGTCCAGGAGAAAGTCCCCACTGTGCGGGGAGGGGGTGTGTGTCTCCTTCATTGCCTGGGTGTTTTCTATGCATCATAACCATGAAGGCCCTGGTGTGATGGTGAATGTTTCTGTGTGCTCGATGCCCCGGTCTACTGGGTCAGCGTGGCCTCTGGGGTGCTAGAGTGAGGCCTGTGGAATGCTTGGAAGCACCTGCGCACCAAAGCGTGGGTGAACATCCCCGGCAGGCAGTATTCCACACCGACTGTCACATGCCATTGCTGGGGGATTCTGGGTGGCTCTGCTGGAAGGGGTCACCTGAAGGCTGGTCTCTCCTGGAGTTGGCCCACGTTTCTACTTGCTCAAATCTGTGTTCCTTCACTATGACCAACAGGGTGTGAGCACAGATTTCCCGAATTTGTATGGGCCTGCGGCTCATCTTGGGAACCTCTAACACCGTAAGCAGATAGATGCGCAAGCCATCTCGCAGGTGGTTTATGTGCTGAGGGGTTCCCCCATTGGCTGGGCCCTCCCTTACCTTCCTTACTTGGGTTTTCCGCCCAGGCTTACCCTTCCCACAGGTGGCGGAGCATTCTGTTGTCCCCAGCTGCTTCCAGTTGTGGTCCCGGCTTCTCCTGGGGGGCTGCGGTGCTGGTGGCACCAAGTTGTCCGGTCGGTGGGCAGGGAATCTGTCAGGATGCCTGACGGAGAAAGTCTGCGTGTGCGAGGATGCCGAAGTCAGTACCTCAGGGGCCTCGGCATGTGAGTCTTCCTTCTCCTGGTTCTTGTCCCGGTTGTCTCTGTCCTCCAGGCGTCTGTCTTCTGCTTCCAACTGCCCATTGAACGGTTCTCCTGGGAGAGGCAGACAGTACAGGGATGAGCTTCCTTAGGACATGGAGTTGAAAAGGCGAGGGAACGATGGAGAGGGCCATTTCAGACACACACATCTGAAAGCCCAGGCAGGGCCCGAGGCTTTGTATTGTCCGACCACCAAGGACCCGGACAGGCACCACACAATGTCCTTGGAGCAGACCACATCTGGGGTGAGATTGGGGGTCGGCTGCCAATCTCATCCTTTCAATCTCTCCTCCTATGAGCGCCTCAGTGGAGTGAGGGCAGAGAGACGGTGGGGGTGTCCTGGTGGTGCTTTAGCCCATCCTAGATCCAGAGCCTTTCCTTAAGCCTGCTGCATTATTATATGTGTGTACATGTGTATAGCCTTTCTGGCTGGGTTTAGCTGACTAATTAAAAACAATGATATTTGATATGTAGATAAATGCTCAAATTATCTGTAGACAGACTGTATTTGAACAGAAAAGGGCAGGGCAGAATTCATTGCACTGTTAAGAGAGAGTCCCTCTGGGAGGAAAATGGAGTTGAAGGCTGATGCTTTTCCTTTGTTTTGCTTTAATTTGTTATCATTATCTTTTTCTCTTTGTGTATGTATGTGTACATATGTATACACGTGTTTACATGTATGTAAACACACAAGGGTAGGAGTGCATGTGCACACGCATACGGAGGCCTGAGGTTAAAATCAAGAGTCTTCCTTGATGGCTCTCTGCTGCCGCCTTATTCAGGGCAAGGTCTCTCAGTGGAACCCAGAGCTCACTGTTGGAACCAATCTAGCCGGTCTGTCTGCTCTGGTGATTCTGTCCCCGCCTTCTCAGTGCTGGGACTGCAGGTGGGTTGCCATGGCCACCTGGCAATTAAGTTGGTTCTGGAGATCTGAACTCTGGTCCTTCCCTTGCTGTGTTTAAGCCCTGATGCTCTTTTTAGAACAGTGTTAGATGGGTAGAAGGCACGGAGTACCAAGGCCTGAGGTAGTCTCAGGGGCCCTTACACAGGACAGAGACGGGTGTCTGAGAATCAGATGAGATGGAACAGTGGACAAAGCCCAGAGGGAGTGAGACCTGAAGGGGGTACTGTGTTGACTTTGGAGGTGGGTGTGTTGACGACTTTAGAGGTGGAGGAAGGAATCACAGGCCACAGAGGCTGAGGCTTCTAGAAGTTGAAACAGGAGACCTCTGGCCTTCAGCACTGTAAGACAACTACCTGCATCTTGTTGTAAGATCCTGGCTAGAAGGTCACTGCTCCAGCCGCAAGAGCAGCCAATGTAATCATCCCAGTCGTGGGATCGGGATGTCGAACTCTGGCTTAGGATCCAGTGAAAGGAATATCCTATCAGGGAGACACACATGTGAAGCATGTTCTGATTCCAAGTCCACTAACCTGAAACACGTGTCCACGGGGTTTCTCTGCATTGTTCAGGACACAGAGGATCGAGGTGTGTGTGTGTGTGTGTGTGTGTGTGTGTGTGTGTGTGAGAGAGAGAGAGAGAGAGAGAGAGAGAGAGAGAGTTAAGAGAAAGTGACTCAGAATACTTAATGGCGAAGCAAGGACTTTACCTGGTCTTCTGTGGGGTGGCACCTGCGGGCTGATGGCATTGTTCCCCATGATCACGTATTCATAGTGGACTCCTGGGTTGGGCTGCTGGTGTATCATCTGAGAACACAAAAATCAAAGTCACCACAGCCCCCACACACCCCAATTTCCTGCTGACTTGGGTCTCAATAACAGAAATGGTACCGCAGCTAAATGTGTATTCTCTTATCTAGTTACAGTAGTAACCTGTGACATGTTAGCTTAAGTCACTTCCAGTGGCTTCCTGGGGGCTGCTTTTGAAGAATCCAAGACTTCGTGTGTTCATGAATCAGAAGAAAAGTGGGTGAATGGTCAAGTTTTTTTTTTTTTTGGAGTTGAAGAAGGACCATAGTTAGTTTATTCCTTGCTTTTTTCCTTGGCCTATTTCTTCTATTAATATTTTTTAATCAATTTATTTATTTTTATTAAAAATTTCCTGCCTCCCATTTCCCTCCCCCTCCCCCCTCCTCTCCCCCTCTCTTTCCAGTCTGAAGAGCAGCCAGAGTTCCCTGCCCTGTGGGAAGTCCAAGGTCCTCTCCCCTCCATCCAGGTCTAGGAAGGTGAGCATCCAACAGGCTAGGCTCCCACACAGACAGTACATGCAGTAGGATCAAAACCCAGTGCCATTGTCCTTGGCTTCTCATCAGCCCTCGTTTCCGCCATGTTCAGAGAGTCTGGTTTTATCCCATGCTTTTTAAGTCCCAGTCCAGCTGGCCTTGGTGAGCTCCCAATAGATCAGCTCCACTGTCTCAGTGGGTGGGTGCACCCCTCGCGGTCCTGACGAGATTTGACTCTAGAGGGGTTCCCAGGTGTCCAGGGAGATGCCCCCAGCTAGTTCCTTGGGCAGCTGAGGAGAGGGTGCCTGAAATGGCCCTATCCTATAGCCACACTGATGATTATCTTGCATATCACCATAGAGCCTTCATCTGGCGATGGATGGAGATAGAGACAGAGACCCACATTGGAGCACCGGACTGAGCTCCCAAGGTCCAAATGAGGAGCAGAAGGAGGGAGAACATGAATGGTCAAGATTCTATCAAGATAAAAGTTAAGGTGTTATAAAGCCCAAATAGGACAGGGTCTGCAGTAGGAGAATCTGTGGCTGGCAGCCATCCACAGCCAGGGCTCAGATCTGTGGCCTCTAACTGTCCCAAGATGTCTACACTGCAGAGGAACCCGACTGAGCACCAGGTGGTGACACAGAGTCAGGCAGACGAGGGCCAGCTTTCCTGGCCATGACAGCCTAGAACATCAAGGGTCCTTTAACGTCCTCTAGGCCAGGGAGGCTGGCTGTCCCAATGTCTGCCCCAGTCCTCAGTCTTCCCTACTGCCTGAGTCTCAACTCACCTTCACACGTAGGGAAGCCCAGAACTATAATGAAATGGAACGGAAATTCAAAACCCAGACTAAACAAGCAAGTAAGCAAACAAACAAATATCAATAACAACAAAAACCCAAACAAACAAAAACCAACCAACCAAACAAAAAAGCAAAACACAAAAAAATCCCACATATAAAAAAATGTAAGTCTGCCTCAGTCATATTCTTTGAGGAAACATTGATAAAAGCAAACAAACAATCAAAAATAAAAGTAAGTAGGATGGCCAGCAGGAGGCTGCATGGGCTGCAGAGGAAGGCCAACAGAATTAATCCTGCCTACCAGGCCTTCCTGCGTTCACAGTGTTATGGTAGAGGGCAGGGTGATGGGTAGATTGGAGCAACAGCCCTAAAATCTACACTAGAAGTGGGAGCCAAGCAAGGGGACACTGTCTTGTTGCTATTTCTACTCCGTAGAGTGTCTCCTGGTGACCACCTGTGCAGCCCAGAGCCAGTTGCTGGACTCCTACTTTTAATTTCTTCGTCGGGAAGAGATAAGAGACTAATGACTGATATTGACGTCTGTTACCCTGCAAGTAGCCCCGAGTCACGCCTGCACTGGAGCCCTGGAGATCTCTCTCCTGCTACCTCCTCTTGCCTTCTCCCGACTAGGGAACAGGCTCCCCCCATCACTCACCCAGAGGCAGGCAGATGTGAGAGACACTGGGCTCCTCACACAAGCCAAGACCATCTCATTGGCATTACAGAAACATGGCGCTGAGCACTGGACCCTTGAGGGACACAGCTATGTGACCGCCCATCCTCGCCGTCTACCCCAGCCCCTTCAATCCCCTTACCACATACTGTTTCTCCTTCTGCCCTCTCCCGTGCCTCTTCTGTGTGAGGAAATACTCTGGATTTGGCCACTGAAGTCCTTATGCTGTTTATGGGGTTATTGTTGGCCACCTTTCCCCGACCACCCACAGGAGGTTTCGCTGGCAGAGCCTTCACCTCTGATACCGTTCAAATGTACCCAGAGCCAACCAACCAAGCGGATGGCTCACAACCCCTCCAAGTTAACTAAAACAAGGCATCTTTTGTAACATTTAGCCTTCTATCCCTGCAGAGGAACAGCCCAGAACCGTGGAGATGAAGAAGCAATCCCAGTGGTTATTGTTTCTAAAACCTGACAGGCAAATGGTAGAGACCAGCATGGCCCTGGGAACAGTAGGCATCAGTGTATTTATTTTAAGCCTTTGTTTCTTGTCACCCTTACGTTCCTCACCTTTTCAGAAGACAGGATTCTAGTGGCTTCATGTGTGTGTGCTCACATGTGTATGTGTGTGTGTGTGTGGAGATCAAAGGTCAACCTTGACCTTTGGGTGTCACGACTCAGGAGCTGCTTGAGACAGGGCCTCTCACTGGGACATGGGGCTCACCTACTAGGTGAGGCTGGCTGGCCAGCTAGCCCCATTGATCTTTCTGTCTCTGCCTCCACAGTTCTGGGATGACAGGCATGTGCCACCACAGCCATCTTTTATATGGGTGCTGAGGCTGGAACTCAGTTTCTCATGTTTGCAAGACAGGGATTTTATAGACAGAGGGAGCTCCCCAGGCCCTTCTAGTAGTTTCTTTTTAAAAGACCATTAGAAACAATGCTTGGGCGATTTAATATTAACACTCTGGCTTCAAGTAAAGTGATCACAGGCTGTCTATGTGAAGCGGGGCCCTGTGGTGCAGCCGCAGCCCTGTGTGTTTGTGTGTGTGTGTGTGTGTGTGTGTGTGAAGCGGGGCCCTACGGTGCAGCCGCAGCCCCGTGTGTGTGTGTGTGTGTGTGTGTGTGTGTGTGTGTGAAGCGGGCACTGTGGTGCAGCCGCAGCCCCGTGTGTGTGAAGCGGGTCCCTGAGGTGCAGCCGCAGCCCCGTGTGTGTGAAGCGGGCACTGTGGTGCAGCCGCAGCCCCGTGTGTGTGAAGCAGGGCCCTACGGTGCAGCCGCAGCCCCGTGTGTGTGTGTGTGTGTGTGTGTGTGTGTGTGAAGCAGGGCCCTATGGTGCAGCCGCAGCCCCATGTGTGTGAAGCCGGGCACTGTGGTGCAGCCGCAGCCCCGTGTGTGTGAAGCGGGGCACTGTGGTGCAGCCGCAGCCGCGGCTATGTGAAACGGGGCACTGTAGTGCAGCTGAAGCTTCACCGTTTCATCCAGGGCAACGGGGAGTGGTCCTTCTCCATTTGCCTTGATGGGGTTGAGAAGGCTGGGCCTGGAGTGGGTCGCTTTGCCCTCAGAATTTTCTTTCTCTTGCCATAAAAGAGAACACGCCAAATTAGCGCTGAGAGGGAGCCTGGAGGAACTCCAGGGCTCATGAAACATGGCATTTGTTCGTCTCTGATTTGGTTCAACAAGTAAAATTGGTTTTACTGGGTCCATAAACTCCAAGGGTAATAAAGCACCTGGTAGACTTTATGGTTTCTGTGAGTCTTGTACATTCAGGGGTAAATGTCAGAGACCAATGCCAAGCACTGAAAGGGGTCCCTCAAACAGGCCTCACTCAAAGGATTTTATTGAGCCCAGGCAAAGACGTGTTGTTTATTTGTTCAGTGTGTTTCTTGGAAGTCATAGGATCCCAAATCCAGAGAGCACCCACAAAACACTCAAACTCACATAGACATCCAGGATCTCATTGGTGGGACCTTCAGCCAAAAAGGACTCCCCAGCAGTGCTGGAGATCTCATTGGGTCGCTTGTAGGTGAACATCGTCCCTCCGCCCTCGTACTTCCCCGGGCGATCAATTGCCCAGTTCCCGTTGATGATGGAGCGGCCGGAGCGGCTTCGCAAGGCTGTGGAGACAAATCAGTTTCTCTGGTGAGCTCAGGGTGTGCCCAAGAAAGCAATCTGAGCACCTAAGCCGTTCATCTAACGGCCTAAGGCATGCATAGGGTTTGTGAGCATCATCTAGGGCTTGATTGCAACCTCAGCTCAACCAATCCCTTCCACGTGGACCTGGACCAAAACGAGGGATGGGTGGGAGTGGCTGGGAGCAAAGGCTGAGAACAGAGGGCGGAGAACACGAGGGGAGAATTAGGCACGAGGGAGGGAGACTACCTTATGTAACTGTGTCATTCCTGATGTGAGGGGCCGTGCACTCCAGACCATGCGCTGATTCTGGCCCATGGATGGGCTTGGTTTGGCTTGTGTAGTGTTTTTTCTTTTTATTTGTTTTGTTTGAATATAATGAAGCCTAAATTTAAGAACTGGGATTTCACATTAAAAAAAAAAATGAGAGTCCTGGCTTTTCTTGTGAAACAGGAAGGCGTGTTAACACTGGCCCTGGATTCTCTCAGGGGTAGGCAACAAGTGCTCAGAGGGACGCCTCTTTCTACAGGGGATTGCAATCTCTGATCAGTCTCTGTCCCCACTCATTGTTCACCGTTCCTCAACAGGAAGGCCTTTGTTGTTTTTAACTAAATCTCAATGGGTCGATTTTCTAATAAAGACTCAGGAGCCAGATGCTGGGGTAAAAACCTGCTAGCTCAGAGAGGCGGAGAAAGCACCCTGCTGCTTCATCCTCCTCTGATGTCCCAGAAAGAGAACTTTTTTCTATACCGTCAAAAACAAAAACTTCTGCAACTAGATGTCCCTCCCTTCTACTTCCTGTGCGTCTCTCTACCCACCCTCCTGATTCTCTCTTAGGCTCGATGATTTTTTTCCTGTCAGTTGGTAGTTTGCTCTGCCTCTTGATCTATGGTTGACTTTATTTAATCCTGTTCACAACATTCCAGCAAAATGTTTGGATTAAAGGTGTGTGCTAGGACTGAGGCACACCGCAACTAGGAACAGGTTTTTCACTAAATAACACAATCTCGGGGTTCACAGTGTGATCAAATATCCTGCAACATTTCTCCCCCTTTCTGTGTAAATAGAAAGGGAAGATTTTGAACTCTAAGACTATTTACAACAATACAGCTATTTGTGCCAAGCTTCCCACAATGTCCAGCTTGGTTGTACTTTACTTGGCAGTCTTAGCATGAAGTATTTTTGAGTTCAAAGTTCTGTAAAATGTTCATGCCAGTCTCATAAGAACTCAGCAATTTGAGGGTCCTGAGCAGTTTGTAGTCTAGAGCTGATCTTTGGGTGGTATTTGTCAGCTCAGTGGCAATCCTGGCTAGGTAGAACACAGCAGTCAAACCAAAAACATCCATGATTGGAGCAGAGCACTGGGTGGTTGTCTAGCGGGAAGGGGCCGCTGCTCAGGCAAGATGGTAGAATCGGTGCTGGTATTAGTTTGGGGTTTCAGGCCAGTCAGCTGGAGGAGGTGGGAGATACCACTTGGCCAATTTGCTCTTTGTCTTGGGACATTTTCTCTTGATGATCTGTCCCATTTCTTCAGATGTTTCACTTGTACAGTGGTCTCTGGTTGGATGCTTTTATTTTCATGGAGTGATAAAAGCAAACCCCTGACCCAACCTTAACTTCGGGGGGAGTTCCTTCTTTGGCAGGCTATATCTTTCCTAGGGCACAATGGTTTTTGGCAACAGAAAAAGTATAATCTTTCAATTAAAATTTTTTTTTGAAAATTTGAAACTAAATATACCTTGGTATATGTGGATAAATATACCTATTAATAGGTTTCTGTTCCCCAGTAATAGGTTTCTCTGCTGATACAGTAAGCCATATCAAGATGAATTGAAAAAGTATAGCAGCAGGGTTATTTGAGCAAAGCAACTCCCAGGCAGGTTGTCCAGTCCCAGAGATTGAGGCTAGAGAAGTCACACACCCAAACTCAAGGAGGGAGATTATATATAGGTTGTAGGAGAGGGTGATATATGTTTGCCACAAGCTAGGTTTGTGTCCAAGTATGGTCAAAAGCCAAACACTTTGGGCGGGCTGGCAGCTTCTAGCTGCCAAGAATGTGGACCTAGACTTTTTGGTGTCTTTCCCTTGTTCAGAATCTCTCTGAGTGGGAGGGGTTTGGAGACAGAGACAGGAATGGGGCTTTCTGGATCAAGCAGGAGTGAGCTGGAGGATACAACCAAACACACACACACACACACACACACAATTGCACAATTGTATTTATATAAATATAAATGTCATAAAAGGACATTTACTTTGAATTTTAGTCTTCTTTTGTAAAGAGCTTTTAAATTTAAATCGCTGTAATTCTTATGTGTCTGCCTCTGCCTCCCAAGTGTTGGGATTAAAGGTGTGTGCCACCACCTGGCTATGGATTCCTTATAGTAGTTATTCTTATACGGTTACACTGGTTTAATTTGGTTCTCCATTTCCCATTATTTTTTAGTGGTAGGGGTAAACTTTCAAGTATTTTGATTGTGTAATCTATCATTCTTGCTGATTTATTCTGAATCCATCTCCTGGCAGATTTTAATACTCTAGTCTTAATTAAGCATGATGCTAATTTACCTACTATTTCATTATTTTCAGACGTTTGTCTGTCTTGCCTGTATGAGCTACATAAACTTTGCGAGGTCATGCCATCTCCCAGGACAGGTCTCTCTGCCATTTATCTGCAGTTAGTGGCCTTCCATTCTGAAGACCATATAGTTACACCATCGCACACACCATGGACTGGAGAAGATGGAGATTTTCCTGTTGCTTTCCTAGCTGTTTGTCTCTTTGCCAATAGTGCCACACTGATTTCGTGGTTCCTTCCTCAGTACTGGCTATGCCATCCCCTGGTCTATAGGCTGCCACTTGCCATTCGTTTTGGTTCCGTCAGTGGTTGATGAATCACTCCCGCAAAAGAGGCACCTACTGAACTGTGGGGGGCCAACAGAAGAGTCAATAGGTACCTCCTGTGGGGGAGGGGTGAGTGTAATCTGGAGGTTCACAGTGTGATCAAATATCCCGCAACAGAGGCTGAGTCTCATTGATGAACACAGATCTTTTATGACAGTTATAGTCTTTGCCTTTCTCTTTGCAAGATAGCATTTTCCCTATAATTCCGACTGTATGCTTACCAACAGTGGCAAAGCCAAGAGGACCACATGATTTTCTGGTCTTCCAGGTCATGTCTGTTCTTTTTTTTTTCTTTATTCCCTTCCTGACTTCTCTAGGCTTTTTTTTCATGCATATTTATGTGCTGTGTGTTTATATGTATGTATATGTGTGCATGTGTATGTGTGTGTGGGTGTGTAAGTCTGGAGTTTGATGTCAGGGGTCCTTCTTAATCATTCTCAGTCTTATCCACTGAGGCAGGGCCTCTCAACTACGCCTTGGAAATGGCTAGCCTGGCTGCCTTGTTCTGGGGCTCCCATCTTCACAGAGAGCATTCACTGCAGATGGGCTTCCATTCACCCCCAGAATTTCCCTGCGTCCTGGAGAGCTGAACTCTGGTCCTCATGCCTGGATGGAAAGTGCCAATGCTGGGCCACCTTCCCAGCCTCTGTGGCTTTTGAGCCTGTGGGCTGTGATGGAGACGTCTGTACCTGCTGTCAGATGTAATCCTCACCATGTTGCTAAGCAGCTCGTGCTAGCCTCACTTTTCAGACACTGGTTGTTGTGGTTTGAACGTGAAGTGTCCACCATAGACCAGCGTACTGAACACTTGGACTCCAGAGGGCGGGACTGTTTGGGAAGGCCTTGGAACCTTTAGGAGGTGGAGCCTTGCTGGAGGAAGTGGGTCACTCTGGGTGGGCCTCGAGGGCTTCTAGTGGAGCCCTACTTCCTGTTTATCTTTGCTTCCTGATTACAGCTACAATGTAACCTGCTGCTGCCTCACCCTGTCACCATGACTACCCTGCCACTGCCAGGCAAAAGAAAACCTTTATGTCTTAAGTAACCGCACACTTCCTTAGGGACATGAAGTGACTTAAGTTCGTGAGGACTTGGGATGACAGTTAAGGTAGGAGAAAGACGGGCAAGGAAGGTCTTAGACTAAACGGAGGGTTAGGTTAGGGTTTTTTTTAGAAACATTTGGCACCTTGAAACCTACATGACCATGGAGGTTTAGGCTTAAAGATGTCCCCATTTGTATCTATGCTGCCAAACTGACTTCTGATATTTATGTTTAAACTCAAAGATTAGTGTTGCTCTCAGCCTTGGCTACAGAATCTCTCTCTGCAGTAGACAGCCATGCAGAGACTCACAGCAGGTCAAAGGGCCAAGAACAAGTGACTGTTGAGTGTTCAGCCCTGAATGAGGCATTGGCATCAATCCCCCAAGGTCCAGGCAACATCCTGGGAGAGGAGGCAGAAAGAATGTAAGAGCCAGTGGACGGGGAGGAGCACTGAGAAATGTTCTCTTCCGGACATGACGGGGCTGTGGCACTCAGGTGCCCACCGCAGCTATGGTTGCCTGGACAACACCAAGCCAACAAGGACAGCGAATATTCCAGCAGGCAGCGCTAACTGGACTCAGTAGGTGACAGCAGTGACAGAGGAGGGCACGGAGGTGGGAGGGGACACACTGAGGACAGTTTAGGGAGAGTGGCGAGGGGGTACCACAGAGGGCATCATGGAGATTCAGGATACATGTATGGGACTGTCAAAGGGTAAATAAAAAGGTATTCTAAAAAATTAATACAGATGTTAAAGAAAAGAACATCTCCGTTTTAAACACCACAAACATAGCAGGGTTCTCCATCTCTTTGTGCTGTCTCTTTACAGGACAAATCAAGTTCACTTTTAAAACTCCATGATGGGAAACTTGGCTATAAACAGTTAGCCAGGAACTGGCCAGTCACACCCCTCTAATTATCCACCACCCAGTTTCAGTAAGGGTCACACTCATGGTCTATCTTACTGCATTCTGCAAAACCGAGATTCCATTTATTCTTAGCATAAAGATTCTTTTGTTCTTAAAACTATTTTTGGCAGTG